CCAAAGTAGGTGTCGCATCCGGATCTCAGAGGATTGGGGTCCGAGTGCGACACCTCGCCTTTGAAGGGGTTGCACCTTCTGCAGACGAAGCAGTGGGTCTATTTATATCCCCCCGACCCACTGGGGGTAAACTGCCAGTGTGTGTATGTGTACATGTGTGAGTGTATGTGGGTGTAACTGCCAGTGTGTGTATGTGTACATGTGTGAGTGTAAGTGGGTGCAGCTTTGTACAGGACACTTCCATGTCTTATTTTGTCCTTTACTCACAGGAAAAAAGGCCTTGCCATGATTTCCTTACACAGGTAAGTAGGGTCTGTCATAGGTACCAGCTTGGTACAGAGCACTTCCAAAGCCTGTTTTGTCTTTTTTTCCACGCAAGAAAATGAGACTTTTCACCAAGTATCCATTTAACACTATACATTTACAAGCCATAGTTTGTCTTTCACACATAGAAGAATAAGACCCTACATTAACTCTTTTATCCCGGAATTATTTGAATTTTCAAGTTGTCTGATAAGTTGTCCATGATCATAAAACAGTGGAAATTGTGTTGATATCTTTATTGGTCTTACGACAATTTTTCTTTCCTAAATTCCAGCCAATTTCGGGCCATTTTTAACACAGAGTTTTTTCAACACCAAAATTCCATTTTACAACACAAATGATCATTACTCTACAAAGAAATTCATATTTTTAAAAAGTGCAATATCTCAATTTCTTGGAAATTTAGCATAGAATGCACACAGCTCTAAAACACCACGGTAAAAAGTCACTGAAGTTGGTCTTTTTGGTACTTATACAGGTACAGGGTGATAAAGAATTCACCCTCGAGGTACACTACGGCGGCAGCCAACAGCCAAAAAAGGTCGATTTTGGTGTCAAAAACCAATTTTTAAATTTTGGGCTATTTTAGTCCAGGAACATCTACTCTATTGATCAGAAACACTGTCTAAAACATCTATAAGATGCTGAAAAATTGCATAAAAAGTAAAACATTCTGAGATATTTCAAGGCGTTAGTTAAAACAAAAGCATTTTTTGGACTCTCTGTTACTCGATCAAACACACAAAGAAGCTCTACGTATTGAGTAAGGCTGTAATCATCAGAATTTCGCGCATTCATTCAGCAACTGCCTGACCCTCCAGATAAAGAAAATCAATTCTTGTTCAGGGAAAAACACACACTTTGTGCAAATTGTGAAATCTTGTATTTTGTTGGCTGATTATGAAACATCCCCAAACCATGAATTTCGATTGGCCAAGCCATGTCCCACTGTTATTTCTCTTTCCTTTGTTTACCTTGACAACTTGACAGTGGAAGTTGCCAGTTGTGGCTGGCGACCATATTATTTCATTGTTTTCAGCTGCGTTACAAGCACCTATGATTTCAACCCTGTGTGCGATGATAGCAGTAGGTGAATACATTGTTTATCATCAAAATTATTGTTGATTTTGTAGGGAGAAGTGAACAAATTATCATCAATTATTGTTAACTTTGTAGGGAGAAGTGAACAAATTATCATCAATTATTGTTAACTTTGTACTTGAAGCCAATTTTGCAGCCAAACAATTTATTAGAAGCAGAAAAACTATCCACCAAACTGCTTCACTTTCAGTTTCACTTGTGACCACAAACCACTTACAATTACTAGATTAATTTTAGGTCTGGGAAAGACGGTTTTTAGATCTAGGAGGGCTACCCTACATTTTGAAGACATTAAACATTTTTTAAAATTTGGCTTTGGAGGAAAGGTCTCAGTTTGTTTTTAACTCAACACCCCCCCCCCCCCCTCCGAATTTTGAACTAAAAAAATGCCTTCGGGCAGCAAAATTGAAGACCAAATTTTCTATTGTTTGTCCAGTTTGATTATTTTCAAACCCAGACATTCATTTCCTAAATGCGTGTTTTGAGCTAAAATTATGTCTTTGGGCAGTGGGGGGATCTGCCCAAAATTTTGTTAAGTCAGTGTATTTGAAAGCGGTTTTCGTCGCGTTTGTGATTGTTCACCCAAACACTCACTTCATAACTGCACGCTTTGAGCTAGAATTATGCCCTCGGGCAGCGGGAGCTTCTGCCCAAAATTTTGAAAGGCCAATTGCAATCAGTACATGTTAAGGGACGTTTTTGTTGTTCACAGGTGCAACTTGTTTGACAATGGAACATTAGCCTTTGAAGCAGTGTGCTACAAGAAATCGTTTGACTAGTCAAGGGACAGGTAGGCGCAAGACGTAAAGGATTCCTGCCACCACTGTAGTCTAGTCCCTGTGCAGACTGCAGCTCCAATCAACACGCCAGTTTGTGACAGCGCTTCGGTGACTACCGCACCAGTCAATGAAAACACCCCAGTTTGTGACAGCACTTCGGTGACTACCCCATCAGTCAATGAAAACACGCCAGCTTGTGACAGAGCTTCGGTGACTACCCCACCAGTCAATGAAAACACCCCAGTTTGTGACAGCACTTCGGTGACTACCCCACCAGTCAATGAAAACATGCCAGTTTGTGACAGCACTTCGGTGACTACCCCACCAGTCAATGAAAACATGCCAGTTTGTGACAGCGCTTCGGTGACTACCCCACCAGTCAATGAAAACATGCCAGTTTGTGACAGCGCTTCGGTGACTACCCCACCAGTCAATGAAAACACGCCAGCTTCCCTACCAGCTTCTTCCCACATCGCTTCACAAATAAAGCTTCACAAAATCAATTTTATTGAAATACTGTGATGTCAAGGGACATGATTCTTATCATTGCTATGGGGACAAGATAATTAAGGGAGTAGCATGCCCTTGGATGACGTCATATTGAGAAGCGGGAAATAAGCCGACGTCGTCTGAGAGACACTCACTGAGAGATTCAGTCGGACACAGGACCACGACAAGACAACACCTATCCTAGACGTGGGGCCCCCTGACAGACCCGACTCATCGGACCGCCAGGTAACTTTACAAAATACCCATCGACTGAACCACAATAAAAACTTTCCAACAAATGTGCTGCATCTTGAGACACTCGCAAAGCTATTTCACAATGAGGCATGAGGGGTGCGGTGATTGCAAAGTACCAGTTACCTTGAAACAAAGACAATATTGCCAGTCGCCGGTTTACTGACATTGATACATATGGTGGTCCCTTATATGAACCTGGGGTTGGGGCCATTGGTTCATCTTGAAGTGCGACAATTTTGAATGTGAAGTGAGGATGGCTGGATGCTGCATATTTGTAGGGTAAATGATTAAATTAACTTTTTTAAATCTACATATTTTTTACGCCACCATTGGCATAATTTAGATCATTTAGGAGTTGGGCTTCCACCTCTGCCTGTCTGGGTCAAACTGGGCAGAGAGGGCAACAACATTCCAGCAAAAAGACAGATCTCGGTACTGGATAAAAATTTCCCCCGACTCTGGAATCGAAGTCGGGTGTCCTGAGTGTGACAGCGAAGTGCCTTAATACTACATCACAGACGCTGGTGTAAACAGTTTTCATTTCAATTCTTTTTTCTTTTGATTACAGTACTAAGTACATATACTATTCCAGGGGGGAGGGTCACCTGCATGGACATATTTCTAAAATCGTATGTCACAGCCAGCTCAATCTCACTTTGAATGAATATTCCTAAATAATATGTCTGTAACACATTAGAAGATTATTGTGATATTGAGATAGATTTTCTGTCAGTGTAAGAAAGGCTGAAGGTAAAATTCTGATTTGAGACCAATTTTTTTCCAGAGTGTCATATCTGACACTAAAATGGCAGTTACAAGGAAAGTAGGCTATGGGACTAATCTTTATATTACATTGCATGTCGTAAGTAAAAGAACTGCTGTGTGAAAATGTCAAGGCTGCATCACAATTCAATCTTTTTCACAATGTCCGCATTGAACTTGCGTGCATTTTGGTCTATGGAACCCATTTCCTTTCAAGAATTCAGAACACTGTCAATGAAACCTTACATGGATGGCATTTTTGTTTCTTTACCCATGTAAGTTATTGTAAATCACAATAAACTTATTTTAGAGCACAAACATCAATTTCCACCTTGGCTTGACCTAGTGTACCTCAAGGATAGCCCAATATAGACCAAATCTGCAATATCTTTACTTCTAATGGTCATATATCTGTGTATGTACATTGGTACGCACACCTGTGTGTGCACATTGGTGAGTATACATGTGTGTGTACATTGGTGTGAGTACATGTGTGTGTACATCGGTGTATATGCATGTGTGTGTACATTGGCGTATATACATGTGGGTGTACATTGGTATGTATACATGTGTGTTTGAAAACTTGATGTTCTTTAACCACATAAGCAACAAAATTCCTGCTGTTCTACCATAAGAGGGACATATCTTGGCTGGTATTTAGTGAGTCTATTAACCCCCCCCCCCTCAAAACCCATCAAGAAACAAAAACCAGGTGTTGCCATTTTCATGGACTGAACCAGTACTCCAAACACAAGATAGCCCAAAGTTCACTAGAACTATCATCAGAAACCTCAAGAAAAATATCAGATCCTCTACGGAAACCCACTGTGCTCCTGTTATACTGCAGTGGATACCAAGCCACGGTAACTGTAACCTACCAGGAAATGAAAGAGGCAGACTTACTTGCACGACGGTAAAATCGAGTTTTCCCGAAAACTGTGAATTAAATAAAAAAGTTAAATTATAATACTGAATGGCAAAACAGATGGGCTAAAAGTAAAGAGGACAGGACGTTCTCACGGCAACCCATCCGCTAGCATAATGTTTTAGTAATCAACAAATAAAATTTACTAATTTTTTCTTTCTTTTTTTTTTTGGGGGGGGGGGGGGGGGGGTGTGCCACGCATCCTATTGCTATGGGAGCCAGATATTAGTTACTAAATGACAAAAGATTTTAAAACATTGCTATGCTGGAAAATCACTTGAAAGTTGCAGCCAACGCTGCTGTTATTACCGCACCAGAAGAAAGATGGCAGTATGTGTTCAGAACTGATGATAATGATGACGATGATGATGATTTATAAAAAAATTGTTCCTGACGAAGCCTGTAGTGGGCCAAACGCTGAACGTATTATAAAATAGTTTGGACATTTTACCAAGTCTCAACCGTTTTTATTCTCAGTATACAATGACGATGATGCACAGCTGTTCACGAGCAGTACTTTAGTTCTACCGGCACCCCGCAGCGCCCCGACGCTCAGCGTAACTTGAACCAGCCATTACCAACGGGTCAAGAGGTCAGCGTGGGGAATTTTACCTCGCGATTAAAATGTTAGTGCAGCAGTTTTCAGCTTTGTTTAACCTGCGACTAAGCCCAAACTACAACACCAACTGTGCATCAAACCGTATACTTTGAATAAGCACCATCCGACATATTTCTTAGAGCAATCACGCAACTTATTGAGATAAAGAAATATGAGATGACGAAGAAAGAAAAGTGGATACATGTTTAAACATTAATAAAGGGTTATGATTTATTTAATTAAATTTGAACATGATAGTTGCAGTAGATTTTGATAATTCTAAGATATTGGGTCAGAAATTGAGTAAAGTTTCAAACTCACTTGGCTGCATCTGTATGTCATTGCTTAAGGCAAAAATATTAAGTTTTGAGTGGAGGTTCACAGCTTTTCGCAATATGTCCTCAGTTCCCCAAGTCCAGCTGTCACATGTGACGACTCTTGATAAAAATGTATCACTCTAGGATTGCGGGTATCACCAGTCAGGGTGTCAGCACTTATAACTGCATTCAAGCCGGCTGTCACAATATTGGTAAACACACTATAATATAATTATTATTACGAAGTATGGAAAACACATTACTATCACAATATTCTCACTGACATGGTCCCATGATATGGAATTTGGAAATCGGTTGCCACCACAGAGATAACCTGCGTACATCACAGTTGCCTGATATATGTATATTCCTATTCTGTTTTCCGTCGTTTGATGGGGTGTGCACAGGCCAAAAGATCTTGAGATGTTTGTAGATGTTGTAACGGTATGATGAGTTTTATTTTTGCTTCTATATTGCGAATTGCAGCCACTCGTCTTTTTAGTCTGGCTACAGAAGCGTGAATGAGCTCTCCTCCCTGCTCACTGTGGAAAGCCAGTCCAAACCCATATTTCTGTATCCAAAGGACACAGTGTTTTTCTAGAAAAAGTTGTTTAGGTATAATTTTGTTGCAAAAATGTTTCCTGTACAGTGTCATGAATGTGGCAGTGCATGTCTGTATCATGTGTGGAATCATGTCAGCTGGCACGGGTTTAGCGTGTGATATAAGGTTGTGAACTTCTCTGTAAGCATCATTGAGCTCATTAAATGTGTCCCTCAGAGTGAACGCCATGTCCAGTATGCTCTGTTTGCTTGTGCATTTAATACTTTTCTTAAGGATTATGAAGTGATCTTTTTGTACACTTTATCTGTAATGAATTTGTGGCAATGATTGCCGACAAAGGAACGGCTGTGGTATGCTTGGGGTGTGATACTGTGTTGGTCTAAAATGTTGTCCAGCTCTGCGCAAATAGGTCCAGAACAGGGAGCAAGAGGCTCGAACTCTAAACTAGCAAGCTGATTTTCTGCTAAAGAGAGTTTCTCTTGAAAACTTTTCCTGTCCTCGTCAGTGACAGAAAAAACCCACAGCCTTGTAGGAATTGGATCTTTTCTTCAAGTTCTGCCGCCCTCTTCCAATTGTTGTCATGAGAAGGCAAGAATGCTGAAACAGCTTTGCAATCATTTTCTGACTGTAAAACCATCTGCATGTCTATGTTATGAGCAGTGTTCTCAAGAAGGCGATGATGCTTTAGCACAATTCCCAACAGAATGTGCAGATATGGAGGAGCAGTTTCACTGGGATCCACATCGATCATTGGGCGATGAAGACAATTATGAAACAGCCTTACATTTTTCTTTACCCCTTTCCCAGTAGTCCAAAATCGTTTGTGATCATGCTTCATTGTGGCAAGAGAACGCAGTGTAACGTTAGTTCCCTGGCCTGTCATAATGTTGGACTTTGTCGCATGACACCACAGGCATGGATAGGTGCTCTGGGCGCCAGAGAGTCCATAGAGTTTGGTAAGAAAGTCATAATCACCAAATAAGAATAATAGTATCCTCTTCCCATCCCATTCTGATTTTGAAAGTTCTTCCAATTCAGGATCCAAAACGGACATGCAAATCTTTAAGTTTTCATGTGCCTATATTTTTGCCATGGCCCCTACAAATGTATTGTGTTTTGAATTCGATTTGCTGGCGTTAGCAATCTGCATGGTAAATTTCAGGCTGTTTTTACCATGGTCTCCTCCAAATTTAACCCAAATTTCATTATGCCAAGTGAGTGTACCGTGCTGTTTGTGCTTTTCTAAAAGCTGGATAATAAGCTTGAAATGTTTGAGATCCTTTCAAAAGCTGTACGATTCTTTTCGCCTGCGGAGTCAAAGAAATCTACCATGTGTGTGACGATGCCATCAGCTGCCACACATTTCATGGCTTTTCTTTGGTAATGCTCCCTTGGAATTGAGAAGCCAGCTTGCTTCAGGTGTTGCCTTTGCACCCTCATCTGACTCCATGATAGGTAGGTAGCTTCCTCCACCGCCATCATGGAGAGACTGCTCATTTCTGGTTTTAACTCAATGCCTGCCATTTTGCAAATAGCCTGACGAGAATGGTCATCGACTTTTGTAGTTTTGAGGCCTGTTGGGTTATTAGACTATCTTGTGATGTCCCTGACACTAGAAAGTAAGTGTGAGCACTTTCTTTTGGTGGAATATGTTACTACTGATGTTTGTTTTCTTGATTTGGTTAATTTTGCCAGTAAAACGGGTTGTCCTCCTGTTTTGCATTCAATCACATTTGAGTTGGAATTATCAGTTGTCTTTTAACAAAACGTGCTGAGTTTTTTTTCATCTTTCGTTTGACGTCTTGTTGGGGACAATTGTAGTGACTGGGCAAATAGCCTATCTTGTTTGAATGCTGGTGATGTGCTGCTGTCTACTGTAACCTTTGTAGGTTTGGATGGCGTAGATGTAGGTGGAGCAATCGGCACGGAGGTGCTTGACTCAAGAGACTCATTACACGCAGTCTGTGCTTCTTGTGACAAGCAGTCTAGTTTGGAAATGTCGAATGGTGTCTGAAAATCCGATGTGTCTGTATGTGACATTGTGGGTTCCATTGATTGTCCTGTCGTAAAAGAAGCTGTGGTTTCTGGTGTGTGAATTAAGCTTTCGTCTGCTGTCGGAGGGCGTAATGTTTGTTGCGTTGACGTTGAAACTGTTATGCCCGATATTATTGTGTTCTTTTGGCCTGAGTTCTGGTTTCTCATCTAGCTTTTCTTATGCTGGAGACAAACGGAAGTTTTCTATGGCTACTTCATAGCCCGTCCAAAGATAGGCGCTGTTTTGTGCCAGCTGCCGAGCTTTTACCATTGCACCTTGATAGGCGCGTTTTTTAATGTTTCTTATTCTGTCTGCACAAGAGTAACACAGCGCAGACGAGTGAATGTTCCACTCATCGTCCTTGACAGTCACACCAGAGGTCAGAAGAAAGTCACAGGCAAAGTCAACACACGCATACATTTTCCGCTTTTGATGTTTTTGTTTATTAGTTAGTGATCTTCCTCCACAAGTCCAGCATAGGTCATGCAAATTGAGGACATGTGCACAAGTCCTGCATAGTTCATGCAAATTGAGGAGATGTGCACCAATCCTGCATAGTTCATGCAAATTGAGGAGATGTGACTGCTCGGTGTGAATTTCTATTTTAAGAGTTGCTAGATTTGAAACAAAACACACACAAAAAAATCTTCTGAACACTGAACAAAAGACATCTGTATCATTTTAAAGAAGAAAAAATCACAGAAAAATGACACAAAATTGAAACTTGCACAATTTGTACAGTATAGCTATCCCTACTAGCTCATTCGCTACGTATTATTTTCGGCTTGTGGACGAATTCTTTTCGGGAGGGCGAAATGAGATGATGACTAGTGCGCAGTTCACAGGTCTTTGGGGCCATAAATTCAAATAAATATCAACATATTATATACCAACATTTTCAGTATGGTTTGTAGAAT